CTACCCTGCAAAACTCCACTCCCCATTCATGACCAGGCACAGAGCCCTGGTTAGTCTAGAACGTGGTGGGCGTTTCTTCATCTGCCTGAAACGCTGGCCTGGTCATTTCCGCTGCCACCCAGACAGGAAGCGCTGATGCCCCACAGGAGTCCAGAGCACACTGGGCTGCCACTCTGCCTGCCCAAGAGGCCCACCCAGGAGCTTTAATAAACACTCGGCCCTGGGCCCAGAAACCCCAACTCCATTAGTGCAGGAGGAGCCTGGGGCACGATCTTCCCAGGGGTCCTGTCGCCAGCCCAGCTCAGGAGCCCTGGATGAGTGGATCCTAAAGGACACAATTTTTTCTTTTTCTTTTTTTCCCACAGTACTGGGAATTGAACCCAGGGCTTTCACACTGGGCTGCACCCCTAGTCCTTTCTATTTGGAGATATTAAAGTCTCCAAGTTGCCCCAGCTGGGCTCAAACTTGAGTTCTCCTGCCTCAGCCTCCAGAGTGCTGGGATCACAGGTGTGTGCCACCACGCCCGGCTCTGATGGACACTTTTTTGTTTGGTTGGTTTTGGTTTTTTGGTACTGGGGATCAAACTCGGGACCTTGCACCTTTGAGTCAGGCAGTGGAACCACTGAGCTAAATTGAAGCAGCACCACTGAGGTAAATCCCAGGCCCCTGATGGACACTTGTTAACAAGGAGAGCATATCACAGTTATGGCATGGAAGACAGCAAGCGTTCTACCGGGCAGTGCGCCTTCTTTATCTGATGCCAGGTCGCAGGATAAGCAAGTCTGTCTCACTGTGAGTTTCAGGCCTTTAGTCTGAGCGGCTCTGTCACGTCACCGTGTCGCTACCTTCTCAGGGGCCTGAGCTCCTGCCCAGCCTGTCTCTGCCTGTCCAGCTTCCCTCAGCCTCAAGCGCTAGCTCAGCTGCCACCTCCAAGAGCCCCCCTGTGACTGCACAGCCGAGAAGTGCTTTCTTGCATTAGAATACTGAGGGGCTGCCTGCAAGTTCAGTGGATGGGAAGCCCCTCGTGGGCAAGAGTGGGGTCTGCCTAGGTGTTGCACCTCTGTCTCTGGTAGGGCCCAGTGTATGCCCGGCACCTCTGGGAAAAGAAGGAAAGGACTGAAGAAGGAAGGGACAGAAGGCTCCCATCACTGGGGAGAAAGGTGCCAGGCAGTGGTTCAAGGAGAAAGGGGTTTCGAGGCTATCAGATCTCCAGTCTTTGCTAAGAGAAACATTATTTTCCAAAATTATGCAAGGGCAGCTTTGAGGGAATTTTCTAACCCCACTTCCGGCCAATTGGACATTCAGGAAAATTCTGGTTGTCATGGAGACCACCTAGCCTCAGCTGAATGAATGAATGAATGTTGACTGCATCTCTTTGAAAACCTCCACTGTGTTGAGTGCTTTGCCAAAGGTTTTCCTGTGCCCCAAATTGGGCCTACCCTAGACCTAGGCCCCCTGTCGACACAGGGGTCTTCTCTTGCCTCAGCTTCCCCGGGAAGAGAACAACTTCAGGACGGGAGAACCTGGAGGCAGAGGAGGGCAGGCGACCTCACGGGGAGAGGCCCTGGGGCCCGGTGATTAAGAATTTTGTCTAAAACAGAGAGAAATTTCCTGTTGTCTGCGGGTCATGTGGTTATTTACACATAAAACCTCAGATGATCTAACAACCAACTTACAAGGTCGCTCAAGGCAAGTGAATTTTGTGTTTGGATCAAAATGCGAAAATCACCCACTTTCTTTTCTATCAGCGATCATTCATTAGATGTGTAAAGGCCATAGGAAAAAAGATGCCTTTCCTCACAGCAACCAAAACTCTGAGACCCTCGGAAGTAAATCCGATAAGAGACCTGCAAAATCTGTATCAGAGGACAAAAAGACCAGGAGCAGGGGGCTGGATTTCTAAATGGGAAGCTGTCACTTCAATCCAAATCCCAGCAGAGGTTTCCGTCTCCAGGGGTGGGGGCCCAGGATATGTTATATTTGAAGAGGAGAAGCGGAGGCAAGTGCTTGCCTTGTGCAATGTGCTCCTTATTACGAGGCTGTCTCGATGAAACAGGGCCATGTGTGCAGAAATGGACAAGCCCGCCAGCACGGGAGAAGACTCCACAGCCAGTCTCAAGCGTCCCACCACTTGGACAACCAGCAGTAGCATTTGGGGGCCGCCCCCAGTTATGCAGCCCATGGAAAAATGATGAAGAAATTGGACCTCAGCCAGGCACTGTGGGGCACATCTGCAATCCCAGCACTCTGGGTGGCTGAGGCAGGAGGATAGAAAGTTTAAGTCCAGCCTGGACAATTTAGTGAGACCCTGTCTCAAAACAAAAACTAAAACAGTGGGATGTAGCTCAGTGTGAAGGCCCTGAGTTCAATGCCCAGTACTGCAAAATATAGATAGATGATAGATAGATAAAGATAGATGGTAGATAGACAAATAGATGGGTAGATAGGTATAGACATATAGAGATAGGTAGATAGATCGATGATAGATAAATTGGATCTCTATCTCAGCCCCACGGCCAAATAAACTCTACCTAGGTTGATCTAAATATGCAAGAAGAATTTGAAAAAAATCTGAAAGGCAAAATAGAAGAAACCATTGTTACAAAGATTTAAAATCACAAATTGTAGCCGGGGACTTAGCTCGGTGGTTCCACTGCCTGACTCACAAGCGCAAGGTCCTGAGTTCGATCCCTGGTACCAAAAAAAAAAAAAAAAAGTAAATAAATAAAATCACAAATTGTAAAAGATGGATACATGTGACAACGTTGAAGTTTTCAGAATGACAAAAAAATCAGAAACCAAATAAAAAGATAAGCCACGGAGTTGGGGGAGAGAGAAGCAGGATCCATAACAGACAAACGAGTCACATACAGATTGTGTAAAGAACATTTAGAAGTTAAAACAGAGTGACAGTAATAAAAACAGGACCCGGTCAGGCAGGCATGTTCCGGAGGCGGAGACAGATACACACAGCAACAATCTGTCCTCGGAGGCAAGCGGGATGCGCAGACGCCGCTGAGGTGGAAGGGCTTAGTCACTTTGGACAGAGCTTCTGCCCAGTTAAGGACTGAATGCCCTGGAATAACCACCTGAGGGCTGTGGGGACGTGGGTGGCAGTGTCGTTTACAGTGAACCTGCTACGCCCACCTGCCAGGTGACAACTGAACTGTGCCACAGTCTTGGTGGGACATGGAGCCTTAAAGAAACTCAGCAGACCCAGCCCTGGTTCTTGTTCTTTTTTGTTGGTTTGGTTTTTTGAGACAGGGTCTCACAATGTAGTCCTGGCTGGCCTTGAACTCCCAGAGATCCTCCTGCCTCGGCCTCCGGAGTGCTGGGATTACAGGGTCATATCACCAGCACACCTGGCCTCATTTTTGTTCTGCTGCTAACTGAAGCTAGAGCTCTACACAAGTCACTTTTCCTTCATCTTAGAATGCCAGCCCCAAATACCCTTGGGCCCTTTCCTCCTGCCCATCTGTGCGCAGATTCTACCTGCTCAGAGAGGCCTGTGACCCAGACCTCACTGTCCACACAGCCCGCGGCCTACCCTGGCTCTGCTCTGCCAAGGAACAGTGTGGTTAGGGCACAAGTGTGTAGACTGTGGCCAGACTGGGACCCATTCTGGCCCCCACTCCAGGTCGGTCTGTGTGGCCTTAGTGAGCTGTGTGTGTCCTCCTCTGAATGGAGGGATAACAACATATTTCACCTCAGAACGCGTTGGGAGGACTGAGTTAGCGCGCAAAGACAGAACGGCCCCGATACAAAGGCAGCGCCGGTGGATGGTGAGTTACACCGCAGTCAGGGGACTGAGCTGGACAGAGACACAGGCATGGCGTGCAGAGGCCCACACTGCCACCTCTCCCTGAACTTCTCCGGGCCCCGGCCGCACAGACAGGCACCTCCTCACAGCTTTCCTTCCCTCCTGCACGACCCGCCCTGTCACAGCCCGCCCAAGCAGGTTCCCGGCACTATTTAGCCAACTGAAGGAATTGAATTCATTCTGAAAAGTCTTTGAGAGCCAGAGGGTGAAGACACCATTGATGCACCCAGACAGCATATTTTCAGAACTTGATATATACAGCCAGGCATGGTGGCACACACCTGTAATCCCACCACTTGGGGAGGCTGAGGCAGGAAGATCACTGTGAGTTCAAGACCAGCCTGGACTACACAGCAAGACCTCGTCTCAATCAAAAAAGATTTCCACCCAGCGTGGAAGCACCTGGCCCAGAGGTGGCCTCTAGGGCTGGAATGAGGTCCCCGGTACCAAGTCCTCGCTTGGGGCAGCTGCCCGCATGCGTCTCCTTGACTCTGCCATCGAAGCATAGACTAGCTCCAGTCTCTCGAGTCCTCCCGAACAGTAAGCTTCCCTCGCCTGGTTTCTCCCGCCCCTCCAAGCCGCTCTGCCTGCCAAGGAGATCTCACTCCCTAGCATTCGATTAGGAGATTCCTTATGATCTGTCTCGTCTTTCTAGAATTTCTGCTCCATGGAGGCCTGGATCCCGCCTGGCGCTGAGCAGGAGCTTGGTCAGGAGTGACTCTCCCACCCCACCCCACCCCACCCCAAGGAGCCGAGGGGCCGGGCTGGGGGGACACATCCAGTTGGGGACAGCAGTGTGGCCCCACCTTGGCTCAGAGGCCCCGGGACCTTCCAGGCAGAGATGACACCAGGGCTTGCATATTCCGCCCGTTCTCATTCCTATCTGCTCCCTCTCCTGTCCCCTCCTGCCGCTCTCCCGATTCAGAGCCTTCATCTTTCTACAGAAATATCCATTCCCACCCAGTGGACACGGGCCTCAAGTGCCTCTCCAGGGTGCATCTGCATCCTAACGAGGCCACACTGAGCCCCTTCGCCCGAGTGTGACTGCAGCTCGGTGCCCGAGACCTCGCAGCTGCCCCGTGCCCTGACCACCCCTCCTCCCTGCCGCCGGCCTGGCTCTGTCCCCGACCCACCCACCGTGTTCCTCGGGCTCTGCTTCTCGGGAGCCACCCGGACTCACCCATCTCGATCCCGCAGATGACCAGGGCTGCGATCACCGCCCCTGCCGAAGTCCCGGCAAAGCGATGGGCCGTGTCCAGCATGCGGGGAGCCAGGTCCCGCAGGGCGTCCACAGCCCCGGCCTGGTAGTAGGAGAGGAACCCACTGCCCGAGAAGGAGATGGAGTGGGGCGTGTCCGGGTCCCCCTTGAACACCTGCTCCTCCATCTCCTCTGCCTCTGGCCTCCGGCAGGGAGGAGAGATCACCCTTCAGCACCCGTTGGCCTCTGCCTGGCACCGCTTCCTGTGGGCACTCCGCTCGTGTCACTGCCGCCCCGAGCTGGAATGTGGCCGTCTCTACCCAGTCGGCTGGGGCACCCACGGCTCAGTCACTGCCTGGGCCTGTTGAGCTCCGCCAGGAAGCAGACTCGAAGGTTGGCAAGGAGCCCGGCCCCCGGGGTCGAGGTGCAGACCGCCCCGGGGTGCTGGTCCTGCGCGGTCCCTGCCGCTTCACAGCTGGGCTGGGACTCTCTGGGGCTCGGGCTCCTCAGCCTCCCACCGTCCTGGGCGCCCCCGGGAGCACGCACGGGTCCCGAATGGGGCCACGCCCACAGAGGCGGGCACTGCTCAGCCCAGCTCCACAGGCCCTAAGCATCCAGTTGCAAAACCTCTGCAGCTGGCTCCGTGTGCGGCTCCCTCCCGGCCTGCTGCTGCTACTAAGAGAAGCAGTGGTATGTCACCTCCTCCAGGGAGCCGGGAGTCCCCTCCGCGGGAGGCCAGGCTGCTGTGTGTCTGCACAGGGGACCCACAACACCCAGGGCCCTCCCACCCTGAGCCCTGCCAGGCTATATGGTGTTTGTGTTGGGTCCCATAATTATTTTTCTTTGTTCTTACAAAGGCACCCCTCTGTTTATGTGCTTGTTTAGCCTCCATTAGTTCTGCCCGGCGGGCAAAGCTGTAAAGAGAAGGTCGGCCTTGGGGCCCCAGGTAACACCTCTGCCCCTCTTGGCCCCTTCTCCTTCCTTTGACCCCCATCTGTGCCTGCTCATCAACCTCCACACCACACACTGCCCAGGAGGAAGTCAACCTGAAATCTAGTCATTCCGGGCGGCTGGGACTTCCTATTTGCTCTTCTTCCCACTCTGAAGTGAGAAGCCTGAGGGGTCCATATTTGGCCCCAGGGATAAAGAGTTTGGGAGGTCAGCAGCCTCGGGGCGGGGGTCGGGGCAGAGACACCCTGTGCTGCGGGAGCTGCTTTGGCAGGGGAGGTGGCCCGTGGGGACAAGGCTCTTTCCGGAGGCCACCTCGTGAGGGAGAGACCCTGCACCGCCCCCAAACTTCATAACCAGGCCCTGGTGTGCAGGACCACTCTCCCCGTCGCCTCCTCTGGAGATGACCCTGCAGCAGGGCCATAGTTAAAATGGAAATACCAAGTCCCTGCCCAATCCCCAGTCCAGCCCCACCTCTCTGGGTGACATCAGCGGTCCTGATGCTGACCCCTGACCCGGATGCCCCCCAGCTCCGGTGCTCCCAAGTGGAATTCCACAGGAGGGAGGCTCTGCCCAGGGCTCGGGTAGGAGGGAGCTAGTGTCTTGGCTAGTGTCAGGCATACAAGTACCTCGCTTTGGGGAGACGGTTTTTATGAGATGCATTCGTGGCAGAGGACATGCGTGCATGCACACACTCATGTGCGTGTGTGTGCATGTGTGCACCAGGTGTAGCACTGCTGGGGTAGAGACCAGGGGCATCACCGGGTGGGGCCATCAGCTTGGGAGCAGCCTGGACCCTGCTGAGAACCTGGGGATGGGAAGAGGCTGGGGAAAGAGGGGGTGCCCGGACGAGGACTGCTGCACACTAGCTGTGCTCGGTGAGGTAGGAGGATCGAGTTTGAGACCAACCTGAGCTATTTACCGAGGCTCTGTCTCAAAATAAAGAATAAAAAGGGCTGGGGAGCTAGCTCAGCCCTCCCTGGGTTCAAGCCCTAGAACCACAAAAGAATAAAAACTCTTCAAAAGAGGGAAGGGGTGAGGGGCTGGGAGCAGAGAATGAAGGGCTCTGATCAGATGGACCTGAAGCTGTCACCGAGCTCTGCTGTTTACAGGCAGGCAGCCTCTGCTGTCCTTGTCTGGAAAAGAGACAGGTATTCCTGTGCTCCCAGCTGGTTGTAAAGGTGAAAGATAAAGGCTGTAAATGCCTGGCAGCTGATAGGTCTGTCATTAGCAGAAGGTAGTAAAGTCTAAGGGGCTGGAACCGATGGACCGGGAGATAAGGCAGGACAGACTGGAAGGCTTGCAGAACCCTCCGGGCAGGAGGACCTGGGAGGGGAGATGAGACCAGGGCTGCAGGTGAGGGCGGGCGGAGGACTGCGGTGGCCCAGCCAGGGTTATAGCAGGAGGAGGACCAGTGAATAAAGCCATTGCCAAGGAAGACGCTGAGTGCAGGGGACTGGTTGGATGGGCCGGGTGAGTCACGGCTGAGCCTGGTTTTCTGCCTGCAGGTAGGAGGCAGTGGAGGCGCCTTCAGCAGAGGTGGGGAAGCAGGGCTAGACCCAGGAAACTGGGTGGAGGAGGATTTTACTTTCAAGATTCGTCCAAGGTGACAGCCAGACATTGGCAGGGATGGGTCTGGACGGGGGACAGGAGCCAGGGACCCTGGCACTGAGGGAAGTGGGCACAGGTCCCCTGGAGGGCAGGGCAGCCACGGTGCGCCTCTCCTTCCAGCTCACCCCAATGCTTGCAGTGTAATCAGAAGCAAGGCCACCTGGTTCACATGGCTGGCAGGGGCCTGCGTTCGGCGGGCGCCTCGGTCTCCAGTCCGACAGCGTCGCCGGAGACCACAGTAGCACAGCACAACCTCTGTCCAGAACAGGAATCCACACCGGTGCACCCCAGGAGGCCCCCAAGGAGGAGCAGAGCCAGGCCTCTCAGTGTTTACCCTCAGAGTGGCTTCCACAGCTGATGAGGTCCTCAGTGCCAGAATCTTTTTCTCACCTGTCCCGGTTCCTGACATCGTACTTAAAGCCAGATGTGGTGGTGCACATCTGTAATCCCAGCGCTCTGGGAGGCTGAGGCAGGAGGCTCACAGGTTTGAGCCCAGCCCAGGCAACCTAGCAACCCTGGTACCAACAAAAAAAGTCCCAACAACATGAAGCAAGAATCATTTCCCGACATTTCTGTATTTGATTTCTAAAACCCTCTCCTAGTCATCTGAGGTGATTTTTAACTGAGCTGTGATTCCTTGTATGACTCATCAGTCCCCAAGGAAATCACATCTAAAAAACTGAGATTGCTTACCACACACCCTTCCAAAAAGACAGCCCAAGATAAACACACAGAGGAACCCGGAGTTGCCACAAGCATGAGATGTGTATGTATAAAGTGTGCGAAGCCACCCGGGCTTTTCTTGGGGAGGAAAACAGGTCTAGCTTCTGGGCTGGCCTCTCAAGGGTGGCAAACCACCTCTGTTTACCTCGTGAAACTTGCTGCAATAGAGTATGAAGGTCATTCCATGCCCAAAATATTTAACCTGAATTTAACTGAGACTTAACTTCCCATTTCCAGTAAATACAAAATATGAAGAATATGCAGGAACAAGTTAAATGCTGCCAGGTGGAAACTATCAGACGAAGTGAGATTGTGGGGGACTGGCAGAAACCATGACTGGCTACACAGCCACCATGCCCAGCCCACTTTTTCTTTGCCCGATTTCCTATCAAGCAGCTGGGAAGGCTGATATAATACTTGATTTCCCAGCCTCCTTTGCAACTAAGGGTGCTCATGAGGCCCAGTTCTGGTCAATGTTTGAATCTTTTCTATAAGTCAGGAATTTAAAAATGTACAACTAGAGGGAGAAAGGAGAAAGTCTGGCCCAGTTGAGATGGGACAGAGCTGTCAGGTTGTCCTTTTGTATGACCTTGAAATCATTCATGCGGTCTCATAGTATCCTTTTGCTTGATGAAATAGCTTGAACAGACTGTAAAGTACCAAAAATAACATAGCAAACATCCACGTACCTACAAGCCGGATTGAACAAGTCTTTTTTTCTTTTTTTGGTACCGGGGACCAAACTTGGGTCCTTGTGCTTGCGAGGCAGGCACTGGAGCCACTGAGCTAAATCCCTGGCCCCTTAAGCAAGTCTCAATACAAAATATTTACTATGATTTACTACAAACAATGCAAAATATAACTGCAAATATTTTAATAAATCTTAATATTTTACTACATTTGGCCAAGTATTTCTTTGGTTTATAAAGAAATGAAATATCACAGATAGAAGTGAAACCTTTGAACTGTTTCCTGATCTCACCTTCTCCCTCCCTCCCATGGGAAACCAGGTTCCAAACTGTAAGAATCTTTCTGTTCCATGTTTTTTTTGTTTAACTTTTGTTATATGAGTGCTTCGTAAACAATATATAGTTTTGTTTTATAAATATCCTCAAATTTCACATTAAAAAACACATTGCATTTATTTTATTTATTTTGGTACTGGGGATCAAGCCCTTGACACACTGAGCTGCATCTTCAGTCCTTTTTAATTTTTTCATTTTGAGACAGGGCTTCACTAAATCACTAAGTTGCCCAGGCTGGGCTGGAACTGGAGATCCTCCTGCCTCAGCCTCCCAGAGTTCAGCTTGGCAACAGAATTCATTTATTTTGGGACTTCCTGCTTTTCCTCAGCCTTATCACACATGGCTCAGTCTTCTATAATACTGTTTTTGATAACCTATTATGGGACCCTGAGACATGATTACTGCTCTCCTAGAATGGTCATTTATGTTGGCTCCAGTGTTTTGCAGTAACCAACAAGGCCACTCTGCATTGCACAGAAATTTCTCTGGTCACAAAGTGGGTGTGTCCATTGTACCTATAAGATTTCAATTTACCTCGGTGACTGGGTGACACCATACGGCGGTTAATGCTACTGAAATGTTTCTGTCACTTACATTTCCACTACACAGGGCCACAGGAGGAAGCACTGGGTTTGGGCAAGGGGGGGTGGCAGAGCCTTTGATTGGTTTCCCTGGGACAGGTGGGCAGGGCAGCAGGCAAACCGCCTAGGGTTGGCTACTTGAAATAATGTGGGTGGGCTGTAGCCCCAGGCCCTGGCTGATTGGGGCTGAGGAACAAGGCCTCCCTAGATTGGTTGGGTCATCCAACCAATTGGTTGAGCCTTTTGCTACCTGGCTCTAAGGGAGTGGTGGGGACAGCATCTCCCCAGACAGCGAGGCTGCAAAGACTAGGGCATAGAGAATCCAACTGAAAGAGTATGAAAAATGTTATCTCACAGTCCCTTAATTTCTATTTCCCTGATTATTCGTGAGGCCAGGCGTCAGATCACTGGTTGTTCCAGGTTTCCTCTTCTCTGCGTTGCTTGTTCTTACCCTTTCCCCATTTGGGGTGGGAGGAGGGTTGCTCTTGGTTAATAACGCGTAGACCTTAGCCTGTTGTAGTGGTGCACACCTATAGTCCCAGCATGCAGGGAGGCTGAGGGAGGAAGATCACAAAGTTCAAGCTTAGCCTAGGCAATTTAGCAATTTAACAAGTATTCTGTCTCAAAAAATATATATATATTAAAAAGGCTGGTATGTATCCCAGTATGA